CACACAGAGCTAATTTTTGGGCGGCCATCGGTCACACGTCACAATGCCGGAGGGACACACACAGCGTGATGAAGCGTCACGGTGGCGGGGGGCGCGCGGCGGGGGCGCGCCGAAAGGCCCGCCGCCACTTTTACGTGGTCGGTTGACCAGGTGAAGGGCTTATTACTTCTTTATTACCACTGACTGCCGCCTGCCTGTGATTGTGGTAATGACAACTCATTTTTAATCCGACGTACAGGAAATGAGCCCCCATTGATTTAGCTCACTGGTCGCTGCGCGCGGCTGGGACGGGTCCTAGCGAGTGCGAAATAATGAATGAATATCGAGGTTGAATGAGTCCTGGCTGGCCAGGGAGGCGGCACGTAGCGCAGTGCGTATGTGCGGCGCGTACCGGCGCCGCCCGGCGGCCCTGTTCATTTCTTGTCGATACCATATCTCTCGATAAGGAAGCGCGGCTCCGCCCGTACTCCGTACTGTACTCCGTGCTCCGTACTCAGCCGGTGCGTACAGCGGCCCCTGGCGGCCCCTGGTCAACGTCATGTTTACGATGCCTTTCATGTCCCGCTAATACGGCCGCTCTGCACTCGTTGGAAATAACTCTGCGGGTATTTAGCTCGGAAGAATGCAAATAAAGGGCTAATGAAGACAAAGGAAGTGGGGTACAGGCGCGTCTGAAAGCACCGGCCACTCGTCCCGTGGCCTTTTAGGGTGCGCCAGTTAGTTGACGTTAGTCGGGGTCCTGGTTACCCGCGGGGGTTGGCCGGGTTGGCCACCGGCGGAGACGAGACTCGGCCGCTTTACCCAGTCCACTAACTGACGTATGTTTCGGACAGTCATTGCCCGGGCGGGCCGCATGAGCTGGCATGTCTGGGGGAACAAGCCCACCTGGAGCAGGTGATGACCTCGGGGCAGGTCGCCGTCATACTGATAACGCAGCTCTCGGTACGCGGGGTGGTCCAGAGAGTCGGGCTCCTTTAACCACCCCGCGTCAGTAAAACTTCAAAGCCTCGAATCATCCGTTCATGCACAATGTTACAAACATTGATCTCGTCAGTTATGACTTTACCCGCACCCGCTACGCATTGTTAAGATTTCCTCTCATTTTTAAAGAGAATGGCTGCGTGGAAAGGTGGACCTGACGACAAACTGGTGCAATGTGACAACAAATCTCACAAATCTTCCAGCACAGAAGTTTGGGCTTGGTGTGATTGGAATTGGTTACTAATTCGCAGTAATGATTATCTCATTTCCTGTGTATCTATACAAACAGCGTTTCGACACATTTAATACTCCAAAAGATGATCTATAACCTCTTCTTTAACTGTTAACCGATAGCCGAAATTTATTAAAGCGCTCCAAGGAGGTGCGTGGCCCTTTCCGCTCCGACTGGCTGCCGAGTGGCTGCCGACTGGCTGCTTCTGCTTTGTTTCGGTCTTCGGCTCTTTGGAGCGAGCTGGTCGGGGCGGCGCGTCACGGCCGAGCCGCGGGGGGCTATCGGTATGGACCATCACGATGTGCGTGGCCGGCCGGGAGGTGCCACGGAGTGCCGCAGCACGCGGGCGCACGGCGCGCACGCTCTGGCACGCACGCTCTGGCACGCACGACCCGCATCCTGTGACCTGCTCCGTCCTCTAAGTGCCACTGGTAAGGACACGACAGATCGCAGGTGCATCCTTAAACAGAATACTTAGTGTTTTTCGTGTTATTTGTAACGAGGTATATATTTCTGGTCTTGTGACGACGGTCCTCCCCTGCATTGTAAGGCAGCTTACTGTTGAGACGTTGAGTCCCACGTGGGCACATGGTGTCCACGCCTCGCTGGGAAACGCCACCCCGCGCAAAGCTCAAAAAATCAGGAGAAAATCAGACATTGTTTTTACCGCGCAGGGGTTGTGGGTTGTGGTGCTCACTTGGTTTACTCTGAGTACCGACTTTTATAAATGGTCTACATTTACTGCAAAGTTGCCTTTGTAAACACTGCAAAAAGACGTCAAATTTACAGACTCTTGCTTTCCATATGGGAGCCTGCTTTCTGCACTTTGTACTTATTTTTGAATGCGTCACACACGGTTAAAACGAGCCATAGGGTTACCAGAAGATTTCTCCATTTTCCAGGAGAGTTTGAAGAGTCCCAGGGTATGCCCTAGAAACAAGCAATTTAATTTGCTCACGTGGGGTGGGGTATCCGGTTATCCTGTGCCTGCTTCCAGTAGCTCCCATAGGAATAATCACTTCATTTTTGCCGCTCACTGCTTCGCTCCAAGATAACTGGGTTAAAACACAAGGCATAAGCACTTTTCACTTGATTTTTTGCAGGGCGCTTAGAAAATCGAAAAAGGAAGAGTACACAGTTGTCGAGGTGGGGAAACATTCTGCCGACCAGCAGTGACTCTCGGCCGGGCGGGCGGGCCCCTCGGCGGGCCCTGAGCGCGGCGGAGCAGAGTGTCGGCGTCAGCCGGTCGACTGACCATCCCGCGCCGTTGTCATCGGGGAGACGTTGATGTGATGGTGCGGCGAGGATGATGGGAAGACACTCTGGACACACGCGAATGTAAAGGAGAAGGGAGGAGGAGGCCGGGGCAGGCCACGAGCCAGGAGCCAGGGCCAGGGCCGGGCCGGAGCCTGGGCCTCGAGTTCCCCCGAGCCCCGAGCAGGGCGATAATTAACGAGATGACGATGGTGCGCCCCTCCCCTCCCCCTCCTCCTCCTCTTCCTCCTTCACCTGCCCCCGTCCCCTTCTTCTCTATTCCCTCTTCCCACGCTTCCGAACCATTTCTTCGTCCATTTGTTTCAAAGCCGTCACACCGAAGTGGGATTCTGCGACCCACTCTGGTTTGCTGCACAGACCGACACACAGGTCCACCTGTCGGACCTATAATCTATTTTATTTGTGTTTTTATTATTACAAATTTTGATGCGATCTAATTAGTTTTCTGTTGACCAAAATACTAGTCTGTTTGCTAAATCGGCAGTGGGAGTGGGCCTTTGTAAATTTAGCAATTGGTTTGCTACAAAAGCAAAACCTGCTTTTAACAGTGCGTTCCTTTTAAGTTTTGACTGAACTCTCAAGTCGCAGTTTTTTTTGGATTCATTCTCAGTTTGTTTTCCCCTTTCCAACTTATTCCAACTGAAATATGGAGACTCGAGCGCAGGAGCCGCTATCCAGTGCGCTCTCGATGACCGCTCACTAGTCGCAGGCTTGTGCTGGCCGAGGATGGCCGTTCATCTTGTCCCAACGAATGCGCATGACGCGGCTGGAAGTGTTAACACATACTCAGCTCTGCGCGCGGATTTCGCCTTGCTACTATTTTCATCATTTTTCCCTCGTCTTGCGGGCTCTGGCGCTGCAGAGAAGTGAGGAGGAGAGAAAGAGAGAGAAACAGAGGATGAGGGGGGGGAGGAGGGGTGGGGGCAGGACGACCGGTGCCATGCGAACGTTTAGAAAAGTATTAAATTACCCAGCCTACCTCAGAAGTCCTTTCCAAGAGAGTGAAATATCTGTCCCAGGAGAGCTGCGCGTACAAGGTGTACAAGACTTGGGGCCGGCAGCAGCGCAGCACATGTCGGGCGGAGAGGCGGCGGTAGTTACACATAGTGCAGCATCCGAACTCGCTGGACCAACAGGGCAACCAATTACGGGCCTCGTCTTGCATCTCGCTTATCGAGCTCTCATCTCCCTGCCGCTCTGCCCTCCCTCTCGCGCCGCCCTTTGTCCGCAGTGCTCTATGATGTGCCGCGACGCTTTGAAACTCCCTCCCAACGCGTGCCCGAGTCGCGTTCCAGGTCAGGTCGCGGGGGTTGGGTGTTGGCACAAAGATTTAAAGTAAAACACATTTTTGAATCAGGAAGCTGCATATTTTTGATACTGGGTACTTAGGCGGCATGATTATAGCTTTATCTAAGACGCATATTTCATTTTTTTCAGGTTTCCAGCCCAAGGCAGCGCTGTGTAATGGAATCCCAACGCTAACCCCGGCGCGGCGCCGCGGCCCACTGCAGGAGGCCTTTGTTCTGTTTTGGGCGAGAAAGTGAGTACCTGATACTCGGCATAACGAGGTGGGTGGACACCGCAGCCGCACAGCAAGAGAAAGAGAGGGGGGGGGGGCGGAAAAATGGGAAAACTACGCGACGGGGGGCTGCCTTGTATAAGACGACATCACGCACCACGAGGCTCGGTCTGGGAAGCAATGAGGGAGAAAAAGACAATGAAAAGGAAAAAAGAATTATAATTAGGCGAGGGAAAGGGATCTGCTGTTCCACTTATTAAAAATGAAAAGAACGGTACTGCTTTGCATTTAGAAACGAATGCCAAAACTATTTGGCATTGAAAGTGGTCACGAAAGTTTGTGTCGTAGTTTGAGATCAACTTTTTATTAATGAATGACATACCTGGGCCGCGTGCCTCGATCGTGACTCACTTGCGCCACCGCCACCGCATGCACCGCCATGTATCTCTGACATGCTCTTCCGGCTGTCGGACACACAAACTTATGACGAGACGACGGTGACAACCAAAGACATCGTAAAGTGTAACAGCGTGTCGGTCGGAGCCGCAATGAGAGAAAGGGGTCCGAAACCGTATGATGGATCGTTGACCTCTTCTAATAGCGCCGTGTCGTAGGTCCAGTTGCCTATCGACGGGGAATAATGGGCCCCGGAATAAGAGTGAGTGAGTGTGTGTCTGTGTGTGTCCGAGGGATCGCGAGAGAGGGGGGGTGAGGT